GACCATTTCTACTCGTTCAGGTAGATGACCTTGCAAATAGTCAAGAAGCTGGCACAATCCAATGACCTTTGGGACTATGTTTCTAAGAGTCTTGCCAAGAGCATACTTTCCATTGTGATAGTTAAGAAGCCAATACAGAAACATGCAAAATGGTGAAAAAAATCAAATGGAAAAAGTTTATATTCCCTTATATGCACCCAATGCTTCAAATCCTATTGAAGAATTGTTTTAAGGTAAAAAAAAAATGCTAAAATCATAAAAATGAAATTGAGGGAACATTTATCAAGATGTAATTGACAAGGAGATACAACAATGGGAGTTCCAGAAAATCCTGAGCAATGTTTCTAATCAGTAATGAGCCTGGCAAACAGATGAACTCAATTGCACCTCTGCAGCACCCACGGCAGGCGACGGAAAAATTAGACAATAATGTCAACTAGGGACTTGAACATATGTCCTGAAACCACAAAACCTGAAACCTACTTTGCTCCAGAAATGGAACCACAGCTTTTCGGGTTGACATAATATTGGTAACATTTTCAGCCATTGACAAAAAAGATGAGCTATTGCAGGAGTTCTTAATAGGCAGGTGACAAGACACGCCAAATTTTACATAATCTACATACAGATCATTGCTTGGCGCTAAGTCAGCACTCAAAGACTAATGGACCCTGGGTTGAGGGAAAGAGAAACAGCTGTACTCAGAACTCAGGATGAGAGGCCAACAAGGAGGTGGTAGCTCCTCAGTCAAATATTAAGCATTCAAGGGAACAAGAGTCTAGAATCTAGTAGTTCAAAAACACCCAGCTTTTGGGCAGGAAATAACTTTTCAAATGCCTCTCCTTCTCATCAAGCAGACTATGAGGTCACCAACAAGTCTCCTTGTCAGAATCCTAGCCCAACATCATTTTCACCTTTTGCTTTGTTAGTCGGTACCCTGCACGCTGTAGGGAACAACTGGAAATAATGCTGAATGTTCTGTTTTGCTCTCAACAAGCTTTACATATTCATTCCTGAACGATCTGAAAATAAAGTCAATGCTAACTTTAAAAAAAAAAAGAAAGGAAGAAAAGTTCTTCTACATTACAAGAGACCAGTAAAGGATGATTATGGGTTTTCCTCCCTCCCCCTGCCCAGATCAAGGGACAGCATTCCCTTGGGTTTTTATATTCTTGTATAATATTTAATTAAATACTCTGTTCCTACTGGTTTATGTACTAGAGAACACTAATTTTAGAAAACCGATTAGCTAGTTCTTTCTAACAGTATGTTATTGTAGCTAAGGTCAAATTTTTCACTGAAACTATGGCAACAAAACCCCAGTATTCTCTGTCGACAAGACTGAAGCAAAGTTCTCAAGAGGCAGGTCTCCACTTGATGGCTAAAGCTAGGCTAGACTATTCTCTTTGCTACTTTTACCTGAAATCCCAAATTTCTGGGAATAGTTATTGGGGAGAGAGGGAACTTCAGTCAGAGAAATTTGCTAGTGTTAAGTCCAAGTGAGCTTATATGTAAGTGTCATCACTGTTAACAGTTTTAGACACATATAATTTTAGCAGCACAAAACATCCCGACATTTCAGAAGCACCCAAATTGGAACATAAATGTACCCGGAAAAATACCAGATGAAAAAAGGAACTTTTAAATCTCAATAAGAGGAATAATTGCCCAACTTATTTTCTCCATTATTGCAACTGCTCAAATTGGAGTTTTTCTGCACTGACCTCCAGCTATTGCTTTGTAAAGGAAAAAAGACCAGCTCTTTGAAGGGACTATTCTCCCCATATCTGTGGCCACTCTCCACTTATCTCCCCAAACCAGTGCCAATGGACACAAGCACAATTTTTGCCTTCTACAGGCGTTATGCTGGCCTCTCACCTTAGGGAGAAGTGTCTCCACCCTGGCCAATACTACCAAGGAAGTAGCCACTGGACATCTTTCTCCTGGGAGCTCAACTGTCTACAAAGCCAGGTAGAGAAAGGCATTCTTGCAGGCCAACTGGCAGAAACCCCTTCGAACTTACAAAAAACACACAGTGGCAGGGGAGGGGCAGCGTTCAGGAAAGCAGCAGGTTGGCAATATCTTCCTCCTGTCTGTCAAGAGTGGTTGGAATGCCTGCTGCTTGGGTTAAGATAAACACAACTTCCTCTCTTCGCTAGGCTTGTCATTCTATACACAAGGCAGGATTACCATCTTGAGCAAATGCCCCATTAGTAACTGATCGGGGCTTGTGCAATTAGAGAAAAGGCCGATGACTTCTCTTCAAAAGGCCACAAGCTCCACAGCTCCCTCTCAATGATGAGGCACACGCGACAAAATCTTAAGAAACTCAGAAAGGTTAAAGCGGGCTGGCTATGGATACCTTTGTATACTCCATGTACTGAAATTTTAAAACAGACATATCAATGTTTTACGAGATGGCAAGGGCCATGTTTGATCTTCCTAAGTGATGTCCTCAAAACTGCTAATTGGAGATTTAGTCACAACAGCTACTCAGCTACTACTTATTGAGTGCCTGGGTTGTGCTAGGCATGTTGCTCACTGCGCTATATACATGCATCATCTCATCCTAAAACAGTCCCATCCATTCCATACTGTTATTAACCCTAGTCCTCAGGTGGAGAAACTAAGGTGTCAAGAGGGTAAATAATTTGCCCACGGTCACACAGCAGGGACTCGAACCCGTATCTCACTCCAGAGCCAGCACTCCTAACCTCTATGCTCTACGGCCTCCCCAGTACATCTGACCTACTCATTAAAACCAGATATTCAACAGGACCTTTTTGTTTTTGCTTTTCTATATTTGTTCACTTTTAAAATATTCAGAAAGGTGAACAGAAAGGATTTTATTTTTCGTATTTATTCACCTTTTCAAATATTCAATAATTCCATCCTTCCACTGCTTTGCAGTGTTCTCTACCAGCTGGACTGAACACATTTGGCTCCCTGAGAGGTTCTCATTGGGAAAGCGTATCTGTACGTTCCCCAGCTGCTAGCTGACCCAACACCCCCAACCACGGGGCTTCCACAGGAAGCAAAAACAGAAGGAACAGCTGGGTCCTTTGGTGGGAAAACACAGACACTCACAGTCAAATGGGATCATCTACCTAACCTCTGTCCCACAGCAGAAATTCCCTCTCCAACATCCCTGGCAAATGGTCAGTCCCCTTTGAATGAGGGGAAACGATAATTAGAAGCAGGCCTCTTCCCTGAGCCATCGCTCAGCACTCACAGTCAGAAGCAAGTCCCAGAAATCTAAAACATTGCCTCTGGTCACTTTGATCTGCTGGCCCTAATTCTCTATTGTTCTGGGCTCTGAACGGATCTCACAATATGACAGCCCTAAAATAAGGGGAGACAACTGTCAGTTGCTCCTTACAGCTTTGCATGAGCATGGCAACTTGTTAGAAATGCAGAATCTCAGCCTTTACCCCAGACCTACTGAATTAGGAGTCCATGTTTTAACAAGATCCCCAGGTGATTCCCTGCACATTCGTTTCACAAGCAATGCCTTATGGGTCTCTTTTCATTTATTCTACAAATATCTAAGTACCTACTATAGGCCACAGCCAATGCAAAGCCTTAGGGGAGACAAGCACAGTTTCTGACTTCACAGTTAATGGAGTCGGGTAACAGCAAGGTCATACACCAGCAATGATGCAGTTTTACGGCATTTAATATGGTCCAGGTATCCTTTAAGTGCTTAACAGGAATTATCTCCTTTGATCCTCACAAAAACGCTGTGAGGTGCAGATAATAATCTGCCCATTTTGAAGATGAGCAAATGGAGGCACTGAGAGGTTAAATAATGTGTCCAAGATGATATAACCAGCAAAAAAAGCAGAAGTGAGAGTCAAACCCAAGCAGTCTGGCTTCAGAGTCTGTGTAGAGGGAGGAGCAGCTTATCTGCACACAAGGAGTCAGCAAAGACACTCCAGGGCGGATGTCTGAGGTTTGAAGGATGAATGCGCATTAGAAAGACTGGGAATCCCAGGAGGAATGGCACAGATGGGGAGATCATTTCAGAAGAAAAAGGGCATGCAAGGGCCCAGAGAGCAGAGCAAGTACACTGACTGCCAGAAGGCAAAAAATCAGTCTGGTTGGAGCACAGAACATGGGGTGGGGACTGCAGATGAGGGTAACTCATGCAGGGCCATGCGAACCCTGAAAGTACGTCCTTTATCCTAAGCATCACTGGGGAACCACCGAGGGCTCCAAGCAGCCAAGTGACATCATCAAATTTGCATGATTACTCTAGCAGCAGTGAGTGGTGGATTGGAGGGGGTGCCCATATGCAGGGGCAAAAGGGGAAATGCAGAAACCAGCCAGGAGGTGGCTGCGGCAACTTAGGAGAGGAACGCTGTTGCCCCAGCTGGTCTAAAATGTCTGCAGTTCTCTCAATGATTCATCGTTCAACATGAACATAATCGTTTTGAGACGTCCTCCTAGTTACCCCACCTTCAGTTTTAGTCCCACTGAGCAATATGCCTCTTAAATGAGGACTCCAGGATGTGATAAGAGGCCCCAGGTGTTTCCTGAGCAGCTCACCTCCATTAATTCACTTGAGTGGTTAAGTAGAGACTTCGTAGACCTCCAGAGGTGGGTTCAAATCCTGGGTCCAGTTTGGCTACTGACCCTTTCTGGGCTCAGGGTGCCCAACTGTATAGTGGGGATCATAATACCACCCAGACCACAGGGGTACTCCAATGGTCAAGAGCAAAAGGCCAGACACAAAGGAGGGAGGTACTTCATAATTATTCGCTTTTCATGATCGCATATTGAATGAAGCCAAGGAATCTTAAAACTACAGGCATAAAAGAGAGAAAAAAGATCAAACACTGGGGGGTCAAGGAGAAGACACTCTCAGAGGATGAAGCCAGTCTACTTTCCAGGGAAAAGACAAGTCAACTGTAAGAAATCTTTTTAGAAGTACCAGACTCAAGTAGTTTGGAAAGAGATTATAGGACAGCATAAGGCATCGATGTAAAAAAAAGAAGAAAAAAAAAGCTGTCGGTTGACCTAAAATGTCATCGGTGAAAACACTGCTAGAATTGGAAACAGTGAAAAACATTTTAGAAAAAAAATTAATTCCTTTTCAACTAGTTTTTAACCAAAGACTAGCGTTATGGCAGGCACTGAGCCAGGAGTGTAGGGTAAGATTTGCTCCCTCCAGGGGCTCCAAAATCCAGCTGAGGAGACAAAAATAGAAGACAGCTGTGACAAATACTATACTCAAGGTTGTTAAGAAGGCAGTTAGTGTGCATCTCTAGTGTATAGACATTTGCTCCTGTGTCAACACATCTCCCAATGACATATTTTGGGATAGTAGAGGAGAAAACTGATTAAGAAATCCAGTAAAGGGATACTTTAAGGCCAGTCCCCTTCTAAAGGCAGTTTAGAGTTGAAATTAAACGTTCTAAAGGAGTGTTTCTGATGTCACAATGTCTGGGTTCAAATCCTGGCTCTGCCACTTCTAGCTATGTAATCTTGGACCAAATACTCAACATTTTGCATGTCAGTTTCCTCATCTACAAAAGGAAGGTAAGCTTTTATAGCACTGTAGCTGCCTTTTGGGGTTGTTATGAAGGTTAAATAAATTAACGTATGTAAAGGAAACTAAACAAATTAAATAAGATTAAATTAATTAATGCATGTAAGCACTACACAAGGTGTTCACTATCATTTGCATTTACAAAAAACATTATTGGGGCAGGCCCAGTGGCATAGCAGTTAAGTTCATGCTCTCTGCTTCAGCGGCCCAGGGTTCACCGGTTTGGATCCTGGGCACAGACCTAGCACTGCTTATCAAGCCATGGTGTGGCATGCGTCACACACATAAAGTAGAGGAAGATGGGTATAGATGTTAGCCCAGGGCAATCTTCCTCAGCAAAAGGAGGAGGATTGGTGGCAGATGTTAGCTCAATCCTAATCTTCCTCAAAAAAAAATTATCATTAATTACCTAGGGTGATGGGACAAAAAAATTTTTAATCCATGGTCCAAACACAGCAGCCTGAACAACAGTGTTGGTGGAAACCCAGGGTGTGTACCAACCCCAATTTTGACACGGAATTGCTCTCTGACCCCAGGAAACTTCCTAAAATCTCTTTAATTTCCTCATCTGTCAGAAAAGGAAGAGAAAGAGTTGTCATAAGCTCAAGTGATTCACCACATATCTTCATCAATGCTCTCAAGACAGGATTATGAGAGCCTTCGCCAAAAGAAAAAGTCCTTAATCAACCACTCTGTCCTGCTTTCAGGAGAACCATATAACAGTATGACAATATGACCCCATTACACTTGCTCCATGTCCAAAGTGATTTTGTGCTTAATGGAGGAAGTCACAACAGCAATACTGAGATTCAATTAGATGACAAGGTAAACATATGCATTGCACTGGAAGCATTTTATGCATATAGAGCTGAAATTTGTTCTCCATTAGCAAATGAATTATTATGAGTAAATGAATATAAAATAGGGGTCTGGGGTCTACTTTCCATGAGTGACTCAGGTATTCAAAGAGGAAGCTGCCCAGGGCATCAGAGTAAGCAGAAGCTCTCTCGTGCCCATGCGCAGGATACCCAGAGCCTTCAGACAGGGATCTCAAAGCTTAGAGCAAGTAGGCAGACATCCAGAAAGGCACACGCGCAGTGTGTGGGACTCCAGCATAATCAAGCAGCAGGCACCATCCCGGTGATTGTGTAACACACTGTGAGCATTCTGTGTTGCCCGGGGAATTGATTTAAATTACAGTGTTGCTCCCTTTAAATGGAGTCTGTTGGTGCAAGATTGAGATAAGCTGGTAAATCTGAAATGAAGATTATAAAAAACCTATTAATCTTTTTATTAAATTTGAATTGATTTTATGAATACAGAACAAGTTGCAAGAGGCTTTCCTACAAAGCTGCAGTGCAAACCTTCAGTATGCCTCAAGGCACAGACTTGACAAGCACCTTAAATAGACTGATTTTTCTGCCTTATTTAACAAGACAGGCAGAAACTAAGTTCTGTACCCCACTGGGAAAGGCCTGCCATGAATTAGAATCAAAAGAACAAACACAGTTTAAGTTAGGCCCACCATTTTGCATGTGGGTATTTAAAAATAAATAAGATATGGGTTCATTCCTTCAAGACCTTGCCATAAAAAAGGAAGAAACAATGTTCCTTAGCAACAATTAAGACAACGTGCAGCAAACAGGGTAGTTTGAAAGAAAGCTAAGCCAGTGAGTCTGTTATGGCCACCCAAGTCCAGATGACCTTTGCAAACCAAGATCCTGACTATGTCCCCATCTGGCCTCAGAGTAAGGCCTGGCGGGTTCCATCTATTCATCTTAACTTGACAAAGAAGACTGTAATCCCAAAGGAATAGAAACCGACTTCCGGACTGCACAAAGCTCCTGAACATCAACGCTTTCTTACAAAACGTTAACCAGCCTATTTCTGGCACTCAGCACAAAGTTTCAAGCTGGAAGGGATCTTGGAAGTCGCTTCACTTAAACTCCATTTAACAGATGGGGAAACTGAGGTCTGGAGAGATGAAAAGATTCCCCCAAAGTATCAGAGCAGTTGGTGGCAGACACTGAGCTGGACACTAGCTCTGATGTCAGATAGTGCTCCTTACTCCTTTCTTAGCAGTTTTGCTACACCTGCTAAGGACCAGCCCCTAGTTTAATTAAAATTACAGGCAAAATTATGATCAGATAAGTAGATTGTTGGTACTCAAGTACTTCTTATCACTCAATCATGAAAAATGCCATTCTTATTTGAAGCCCCTTTCAAAGCTGCTGGAAGGGTCAGGGCCAATTCACAAAGAGCTTGCATGGGATGTGAAACTGTTCTCCCTCTCTCTCAACCAAGCCATCCTACTAAATCCACAAGGCCCCTAACAGATGGGTTGACAGAGTACAAGCACTCTAGGACTAAGGGAAGAAGGGTCCAGTAAAAATAACAAGGCCACAAGTCTGATCCTCAAATTCATGGCTACACTTTAGGTCCAAGACTGGCTTGTCATAGGCAACCTACATCCTCCTCCTCTTCCCAGTATCATCCTGAGAGCACGATTCTGGGCTGTCATTGTTTTAAGCAGGACACATGCTGAGCAATCAGAAGTCATCAGCCAACGTGGGGATGCCCAGAGACCAGGTTACACTGCCCCAGTCCAGACTCTCATTCGCACTACAAACACGACTCAAATCATATTGCAGGTAACATATCGCATATCCCACAGCTTGTCCTGATGATAGTTAAAAATACATTAAGTCAACAGGGTCTGGGGTTTCCATCTTCCCACTTGGCTTTCTTCCTCATTTAAAGAGCTTCAGCAGATAACAGAAAAGTAATAACTTGGCCCATTCTCATTTAGAGACTGGAGGTGACAAAGGCTATGGCTTGAAAGAACTCTTGTGCTTTGTGTGGAGAAGGGTCCCTAGGGCACAGAGGGGAAGCACTGGGCCCAGGCCTTTGGGAGAGGGTTCTGGCCTGACTTGGACACTCACAAGTCATGTGACACTGGGCCAAGATGCTCAATTCTTAACAGCCAAAATGGCATCAGGCATAAAACAGATGCACCCTGGGCTGAGGAAGCATTTGCAAAGCTCAAGGAGAAAATGCACATGAAAAGCGTCATCATCTACTTGGCCCCAGCAAACCAGGAGATTGCAGGGACAATTTTTACACTATGTAGGAAGATAGTTCACTCGCTTTGCTTCTACGTGCACATAAACAGCTACTGTGTGGACAACAAATTACTCTAAGCAAGTTCCTTAAAGATTTTAACTGTGTAGTGGCACTGACTTCCTTGAGAATTCCTGCATCTTTCCTCCCTGGAGGATAGATGGCTGGCACATAGGAGGTGTCCAATAAATGTCTGTGGAATGAATGATCATCATTTCTAAGTGACATTTAACCGACTATGGGTAAATTACTCAATTTCTTCTGTACCCCCAATGGAGAACTAGAGCCTGCACTTCCTCATGTCCATAGTGAGAACATAGGTAGGCTACACAGATTAAAAGAGAGAAGTTAGGGGGTGGTTAGTGGTTAAGTTCGTGCCCTCCGCTTTGCCGGCCCAGGGTTCCACGGGTTTGGATCCTGGGCGTGGACATGGCACTGCTCATCAGGTCATGTTCAGGTGGTGTCCCACATGCCACAACTAGAAGGACCAACAACTAAAAAGAAATATACAACTATATAGTGGGGAGATTTGGGGAGAAAAAAAAGAGAGAGAGAGAATTTATGGGAAGCACTTTGTATAAAGTAAATGCTCTATTAATGTTGGCTACTTTTATTTATGATGTGGGCCTGTTTCTCCATGAAAATCTATGACTCCTGAAAACAAAGGGGGCTGTGTTTAACTCATCTTGCTTTCCACCCGTAACCAAGGCCAACAGCTGGTACACAGTAGGGCTTCAATGCTTGTTGAGCTGAACACTCATTTTCACAATACAATAGCTTAGTGGATTGCTGTGCTTGAAACCAACTTGACTTGAGGGGAGAGAAGAAATACAGGGGACAAGGAATACTTACCTAGCTCATCCACACTTTCAGCCTGATCTATGACCTCTTCCCCAATCCATATAAACCACTGAATGACATCATAATGCTTCCTTTCTCCTCACCGTTCCCTGCCCAAACTTCTCCCCATCTTAAACTGTGTTTCCCTTCAAATAGCTTTTCTTCTGAAACTAAGGGGTTCCTGCAACATTAAAAATCTCTCACACTAAGAATCTGGGGCCAAGATCAGCCTGTTGAACTGAATGGAGAAGATCAAGTTTTGAGGGCAAGAACTTGACTGTTGCCCCAATCTAAAAAAGGAGATCACACAATAAACGGCATGATCAACGCTAAAGTCTATCTTATTTCCTGAAAGCCCCAGTCCTTAATTCTACTCCAACAACCCTGGAGGTTGTATTTCAAACAGCAGAGATTCTGAGATCAATATGGAGACTGGTTGTTGGTTTCCATCTTTTCTTTGTGCAAGATGCCATTATATTTAGTAGGAGGAATAGATGGGTAGGAGTGGAAGAGGAAAAGATAATATAGAAGAAGGAATTCACCAACCACAAAGTTTCTGTTCCTAGTTTCAATGTGATGTTTGCCTTTCCTATTTTTTTACGATTATGGGCAGAGCCAGCACATCAGGGAGAAAAGAGACTCTGCCTTACCTTCCATGGACACTGGTGCTTTAAAATGGTACCACATGAACAAAGGGACTAAAGTAAATGAATTATTCTACATCTCAGCTCTTCTCATCACCTAGAGGACAGGGATGCTGTCCAAAATTCATTTGGATAATGAAAAAGACTTGGCTTATGTGAAACAGATGTGCGGCCAATCTTTTCCTCCTATAGAAAAAGTGAGGAGCAGGAGATATATTCCAGGGAATTACAAAAAAAGAAATTCACTTGGAAATGTACTTTTACCCATCAGAAAGAAGCAAGAGTGTTCAATAGTTCAATTCTTCAGCATCTACTGTGAAAAATAATAGCTACCAGTCACTGAGCAAGGCTTGTGTACCAACCACTCCATTTGGCTCTTTACCCCT